GTTACAAAAATTTCAATTGTGACGGATCGTGACGATGAAGAACTATATGCAGACGCTTTGTCTGATTGTTCCGAGTAATTTTGAAGTATAGCGTAGCGATGCGGAAATTGATAGTTTATCGCAGCAAAATCAGATATATTTGCGAAACCTGTTGTGTACGACTACACGTAGGTGATTACTGTACAGTTTATTACTCCAGAGAAATTACTGAAGTATATTACATGTATAAAATATAATATATATATAATGTGCAAAGCTTTCTTTAAACTCATTCTGTATAAATAAAGTATATTGAAGTTTATGTCGGTGACAAGAGACATAGTTTCTGGATAAAATTTCCGGTTACTTAAGTGCAACTTGCATTTCAGTACGTAGCAATTGTAAATACGTAGCTTCGAGCAATTTATAATTTACAACAACCGACACGTAGTCTGAGTTCTTCTAAATTCTGAACATTTATTTTTGATTATTTCTGTTTTCTAAAGGATCACAAGTGCGTGTATAATCTGCGACACGTCGGCGTAACGTCGACAACGTAATCTCTCTTTGTTGCAGGGAAAAACTCTTCACCTCAACATCACGCAGGGCATCATAATCAGTAATCAAAGCCTGGTGTTGCAAGGCGTCGACCGTAAAAGCGCAGGCAATTACACCTGCGTCGGATACAACACGGAAGGAGACGGAGAAAGCTCTCCGTTTTATTTGAACGTAATGTGTACGTGTCACCCTCTTAAATAAATGATCAGAAGAGGTCTCTCCGAGGCAATCTCCTGGCTCTCGCTAGCTACGACAATTACACGCGAAACACGTTTGTGTTTTTTCAACGAATTAAAACGTTTCTATTAACAGTGGAGCAAATCGTTGTAAATTTCGAGTCGGATCCGAGGCGTACCCATTTCGAAAAAGAGACCGGAATTTGAGAACTTTTCATTTTCCAGCCCGATATTTCCTTCGATTGTTTATGTAAAAAAAAAAAAAAAAGATATAGTCAGATATCTGACGAAATCGAAAGAAAGACTCTCAATCTCCCCGCAGAAGATTCGTTTTTCTTTTTTTTTTTTTTTTTTT